GTTGCATTTATTGAATATGGAAGTGTTGTAGCTGTTTCTTTGGTATAGGACAGAAAGATGCACCTTTCACAAATGGAGGGCAGAGCCATTCTGCAACACTTAAGTGCTCACCAAACACCTTGGAATAGCTGGCACATGTAACTGCAACTGTCAGTCTTTTTTGTTTGTTTCTTCCCTCTACCAGTAGAATATAAAAATCCAAAGATACCTCTTTTCCTTTCTGTGTTTCATGCATCATCACTTGTAACCAGCATTCTTTCTGATATGAACTTGTTCTTTGATCTTGTGAATCTTGCTTTCGATTTGTTCAAAGAGGTGGTTTCCAGCTGTTTCTCTTTTTAGGTATTTGACTTCAAATTGACTAAAGAGGAGATGGCAGCCCTTCTCAGCTTAAACAGAAACTGGAGGATCTGTGAAATGATCATGTAAATGGCCCTTTGTCTTCTTCAGACTCTTACATTTTCAATGATCTCCATTTTGATCTCATAGGAACAGGTGTAGCTGCTTAAATTGGGTATATTTTGAAACCTGAAATCATCTGGGGGATGAAGCATCTGTTATTTAACATCTTAGAGGAGTTATGTTTTTTACTTTATTGACTAAAGGATGAGTATAAGTCATGCTGTGTATTCACTGTAAATCCTTTCTCCAGGAAACTTTGTGTGTCAGGAATTCCAGAATGACAGTTCTGATTGATAACTTTGGCAATGTCCATATGGGATAAATGAACATTAGGCAGTTTTAAACTTAAGATAATTTTTTCTGTGAGGTATTATAAACCGATGTCAGCTCTTACATAGGTGGTTGGGGGAGGGAACGATCATCTGTTGTGCAGTACAAAGCACAACTGCTTGCAGATATGCACCTTTGAAGCCTAGAGCAAGACAAGAAGCGTTGGCTGGAAGGTCACAGAAACTGCTGTTTTCTCTGTAAGCACTGTTCAGTGCCTAAATAATAGAAAAAGATTAAGTTGTTGGTCCTGTATGCTTTTTCTATACTAATAAGTCTCTTAAATTCATTCTGCTGTTACTCAATTCAGAGCCTCCCCTGAAGGTTCTATATTTCAGCCTTAAGTAATCTTTCCTCTTTAATTTCCTCCAGGTGCAAAAATCACACGGAGTACCCTTTCAATGCAGAATACTGAAGGTGGTTTTATCCTGCCCTCTGCAGGCCTCTGGAGTATAATGAGCTTCTGCCATTGCCTGAAGTTGCCCACTAGCTACATGCTGTCTCTCTCCTGCCAGCAAAGGCACAGTATATGTATTCAGTGACTTTGGGTTTTTCTTCTTTGGTGGAACAAAATATTAAAGCTGTTCTGGAGAACAGATATATGGGCTACAATAATTCTCTGCTCATTCGATGAGTGTCTCTGCATGGCTGAAAGAGTAAAGCAGAAAACAGAATAACCTAGCAACTGATTTTATTTTCTGCCTTGCATCAATACCACTTAAGGCTGTAGGATTAAAGATACGTGAACACAGAAGAAAGATCCATCCTGAAAGAATGAACTACATAATTGCTGCCTGAAGACAAAAGACAACAATTAATTTTACTTCTAGAGCACAGTCCAAAGCTTTCCGTGAAAGAAGAATAAATGGGAGAAGTGTCCAAACCTACAGATGCATACCAACTCATACTAGGCCTTAATTCAGTTGTATTTTTTTACAGGCTGAAACTGGACACAGATTAGTGTTAAGTTTCATTCTTAACCAAAATAAAAATGTTTGGATTACTGCTGGTTTGGAAGTTTTACTCTAATGTGAAAATTAACAAACCAAGCAACAACTTGCATGAACAATGTCATTGAAGATAATCACAGAATCAACTAGGTTGGAAAAGACCTCTGAGATCATCGAGTCCAATTTTGACACACCACCATTTTGTCTACTATACCATGGCACTAAGCGCCACATCCAGTCTCAAATACCTCCAAGGACAGTAACTCTACCACCTCCCTGGGCAGCCCATTTCAATGTCTGATCACTCTCTCTGTAAAGAACTTCTTCCTAATGTCTAACCTAACCCTCCCCTGGCAGAGCTTAAGACTTGTGCCCTATTGTCCTACTGCTGGTTACCTGGGAGAGGATACCAACCCCCACCTGGCTACAGCTTCCTTTCAGGTAGTTGTAGAGAGTGATAAGATCTCCCCTGAGCCTCCCTTCTACAGGCTGGACAACCCCACTCCCTCAGCTGCTTGTCATAGGACTTGTGTTCCAGACCCTTCGCCAGTCTCATTGCCCTTCTTTGGACATGCTCCAGCACCTCAGTATCTTTCGTCAACTGAGGGGCCCAGAATTAGACACAGTACTCAAGGTGCGGCCTAACCAGGGTCGAGTACAGGGGCAGAATCACGTTCCTGGTCCTGCTGGCCATGCTATTCCTGATACAGGCCAGGATGCCATTGGCCTTCTTGGCCACCTAGGCACACTGCTGGCTTATGTTCAGCTTCCTGTCAATGAACTCCCAGATCCCTTTCTGCCTGGCCACTTGCCAAGCAGTTGGGAGACACTTGGCCCTGCTGAGCCCCATATAGTTGGATTCAGCCCATCTATCCAGCCTGTCCAGGTCTCTCTGCAGAGCTCTCTTGCTTTCTAGCAGATTGACACTACCCCCCAACTTGGTGTTATCTGCAAATTTGCTAATGGTACACTCAATTCCCTCATCCAGATCATCAGTAAAGATATTAAATGGGACTAGGCCCAACACTGATCCCTGGGGGACACCACTAGTGCCAGCTGCCAACTGGATGCAGCACTGTTCCCCACCACTGTGTGGGCCCTGCCATCAGCCAGTCCTTAACCCAGCACTCATTCAGTTTTAAATGATATCACAAGAGCATGGAGATCTTGTCCTGATCAAAAGTTGAATAACTGTATAATAAGCTGTGATTGACAGAGCAGTGTTGACAAGAACAGCTGAGTATGACAATTTACTTTCAAAAAAGCCTTAGTGGATGGTAGATCAACAAGCAATAGGAGGTCACCTGAAACTGCTGGAAAACTGTACAGTGGTATCACTGTGGACTGATTTGGTTGGTATAGTGTGCTGATATCTGGCTATTAAGAACGCAGAGTAACAGAGACTGGGGAGAGGGGGAGACAGTGTTAAGCAGGTGTCGGATGCTGCATAAAAGCAGGGGGTGCATGGTGGAACTGAAACGTGTTGCAGAGTCTGACAATGGAGTGTTACGTTCTCTACAGGCTATTCTGTGCTGACTGACTGGCACAGTAACTGGGACAGGTTGGTGTTAACTGTAACTGCTGGAATGAATAAAGCTTTCCCCTGATAAAGCCTCTCCCTTCCAGTGGAGGATGCAGGTGAGCCTTGCTGGGGAGTGCTAGGATAGCTAGGAAGTGTTTTGATAGCATGGCATTTCAGGTTGTCATCCACTGACAAATATGATACTTCCTTCCTAAAGGCCCTGCCATCACCTGACAACCCCAGACACACCTTCAGGATGGAGAAACAACTGATGGCTCACGTGTCTTGGCATGATCTAAGCAAAGACTCAGACCAAGAGGCACAAACAACAAAGCAAAATGCAAACCTGCCCTAAATCCTCTCAAAAGACAGAGACACCTCTCATTCAAGAAACCATTGGGGAAAGCACCCACCTTCACAGGCTGTAGCAGAAGCAATACAAAAATCTGATAGATTCTGATAGTTTCTACACTGAGACCTTCTACATCTGGAGTCAAAGCAGAACACCACTAGCTTAAGCATTCAGGAAATAGGAGAGCAGAGGCAATCTGGTATTTGCCCTGAAAAGCCAAATCACAGGCATGACTCAACATTTTATTTTGAAAAAAAGAATTGTAAAGTGCATATTGCATAAACCTTAGTAGTCATCAGCAAAATAGAGTGCCTTCTGTGAAGGGCAACAGTCTTTGTCAGGACAAGTCTCCACAAGACTTCTGCTAATAATTAAGACCAAGGCATGGAAAATAAATCTCAGCCCATCTAACACCACATAGTCCACCTCTCCAACAGTATGCACTCTGTGCAGCTGCTCTGCCCCTCTTAGCTCCAGTCCTTTGCCCACCATCAGCAATGCGTACCAGGAATGCCTACCAGACACAATGCCATGACTGGCACAGAGAACTTCCCTACAGCTCTGCAGATGGAAAGTGTCCATTTTTCTGAACTGAGGGAGGGACAGTAGGAAGGAAAAAAAGAAGTGTGAAACCCCCTAGTCTAGGAAGGCAGCAGGCCTCCCATGTAAACAGCTTTCTTTAAATACTGTCATCAGTACTCCTAGTATCACAATCTTTCAATTGATTTCATTGACCCTGAATCAAACCCCATGAGTCTGAGCACGCTCAGAACAAATTCACAGGGAAGGAATCCAGACAGAAGGAAAAAAAAGGCAAACACTGCATTATATACTATTTTGTGATGTAACTGAAACATCACATCCTGCTGAGGATGGCTGATGCTGCTGACAAAAAAAAACAACCACGCTACAAAACAGCTGGACATCTGCTGTGGGAAAGGCACACAGAGAAAAATGCACCATAATACTCCAAACAATGCTTGCACCTAAATAAATTCGCCAAGCAGGAACAATCAGCAAAGTTTCTTAGGTGGTCTTAACATAACATCTATTCTTCAAAAAACATTGCAAGACGGCTCTCCCAACACTAAAAATAACATTCTTCTTTAAATTTCACTGCTTTCTAATTTACTCCTACAAAGCAGCTCACTTTTCCTCTCCTGTTACCGCAAGCATTATCCCACCTTCCGAGGGGCATTGAGAGCTGAAAGCTCCAGATTCACGCAGACGCTATTAGAGCTCTGCAAGAGCCTGGACACCATCGCTGCCGCGGGGACACGCTGCTCCAGCCGATGGGCGCAGAGCCCTTCCTTATCCCGAGGCTCACAGCCCACACTCGCAGAGAGAACAGCTCCGAGGCCTCGGGGAGACGCAGCAGCAACCCCTCCTCAGCTCGTTGTCCCGGAGCCGTAGGGCGGTGCCTGTGCCGTGGGGGCGGGTTCTGGGACGCGGCGGGCACGGTCCGGCCGTCATTAAATGGCTCGGCCGGCGACACTATCAAACAGCGTTCCCGGACGGAGTTATGGCGACCTGCGTGCAGCTCAACACCGGGGCCAAGATGCCTGTCATGGGACTGGGCACATGGAAGGTAACGGGGATCTCGGCGGTGCCCCCGGTCGCGCCGCGGTCCCTTGCTTTCAGCAGGGCTGGGTCTGCACCCGGTGCAATCTCCTCCGCGGGGGTCCGGAGCGCTCTGGACTGTGTATGAAGCGGGGGCAGCTCGGCTCATTTCAGCTCGGTGACCCGTCCCCACCGACACCCCGGGGCGGAGCGCAGCGCCGTCGGTGTCCCCGACAGCCTGGGATACCGCTAAGGGTACCTCCCTCCGGTCGTCCCCGAAGGCAGAGCCCCACGCTGCTTTTGAAGCTGTTTTCCCTAGCGTGCCCTCCGTCCTTGCCGTCCTGCTCCTGCCATGGGAGAGAGTTGACTCTTGGGTCTCTTTCCCGGACCGGGAAAGTCGACTCCCTCCCTCACGTATTCCCCTCCTCCCGTCCCCCCCTCGGATGCGCGGATCCCATCCTCTCCCGTCCCGGCCAGGCTCCCGCGGCTGCGGTCTTCCGGGCCCTTCTCCCTTCTGCTCCCCAGCCCTTCCCGCAGCCAAGGCTTCCGTGCCGCTGCAGTGGGGCACTCGGTTTTCTTCGTTTGCTGCTTCAGTGCTGAGTAGCTTTAATCCTGGGCGAGGTCACTAGGAATCATCTGATAATATGATACGGCTTTAGAAGACAATTCATGCGTTTCAAGCAAGTTCTGACAAAGAGGTTTGCACTGCTGTTACAATGACTGCAAAATCAGTGACCTATACAATGCCTGAAAACAAACACTGCTAAATTTGTATGAACAAGATATGCCAACATTTCTTTGTGCACAGCTCTTACTCCTGTCAAGATATAGAAACACATAGAAATGCACGTCCCTTCTGTCTCTGAAAGAAGCAGCTGATATAACCTTCAAATTACATGTGAGATGTGCCCCAGCAGGAGCTGGGCTAGAGCATGGTACAATACTCCATGGTGATGTGGATGACTAAGGTGTAGACCACTGCCCTCGCCAGGTGGGCAGTTGTTGACTGCTTCTCTTGTTAGATACAGCACTGGGAAGTGAGGACTGCTAGGTGGAGGGCACTTCAGAGCTCCCTGGCACAAACCTTGTTCCCCTGGTCCTAATCTGGCAAGCTGTCCTGGTGTTGGGGGCTCTGCTCTACCTGGCTGTTAGGTTGAGCCTGTGTGGGACTGGGGCAATATTTAAATGGCTGGAGGCTGGCTGCAAACCCATCAGCTTGCATTTGTAAGATGAATCTGGCTTTAAGAACGTGGCATGGATGAACTCTACTTAAAACCCCACTGTATGTGTTTCTTTAGCTTCTAAATAACTAGGAAATGGCCTGTATGTATGCTTTGATATGCGATCTTAACCTTTTGTTTTCAGTCTGCAGCTGGGCAAGTAAAAGCTGCAGTGATGGCTGCCATCGATACCGGGTACCGCCACTTTGACTGTGCCTACGTGTACCAAAATGAGAGTGAAATTGGGGAAGGGATCCAGCAGAAAATCAAGGAAGGTGTTGTGAAACGAGAAGACCTCTTCATCGTCAGTAAGGTAAAGATATAGTGACCTAGGATCCAAGGGAAGGTCTGCTTTGTGTAGAGGGAAATTCAGAGCAGGGGGAAAGGCTGTGTGGTATAGCATGGAGTAATTCAGAGCATAGTTCAGGTCAATACTGATGAAAGCTACTTTTTGTCACTGTATTTTGTGTAGAGTTATCTAATATATGCTTCACATTCTCCATTTTCATGGGATTGTTCAAAGTATGTGTTAAGCTTAAATGGTTTCAGAAAGTGGCCTTGGTTTTCCTTGCTTCTGATGGAAATTCTGTATTTGGCTCACCACTAAAACTATTATTTTAAAAAGAGCTCTTTAACCCATATCTGCCTGTAATAAGTGGCTTTTGCATATCTTGACTAATGGAACAGGATCAGTTTTTAGTTTACAACCCATTTTGATCACACATGCCACCGCAGCACATACTGCCCTTGATATCAGTGGCCGTTGCCCAGTCCTGCTTACAGAGCAAGCCCCATCTGAAAAGCAATAGGGTGGCCTAATTCCACACCATCTTCCAAAGGAAACAGGTTCTTGCTGGAACAGTACAGAAGGATTCCAAGATATTTAACCCAGGAGGTTACAGTGTGCCTTGTTTTTTTATCTCTAGCTGTGGTGCACATTTCACGAGAAGCCTCTGGTGAAGGGAGCCTGCCAGAAGACTCTTGCCAACCTGAAACTGGATTACCTGGATCTCTACCTCATCCACTGGCCTACTGGGTTCAAGGTACAGTAACAGCAATGCCCTTGGCTTTTCCTCCTGGGAGAGCTCCTCAAAACTGCCAGTAGCACTTGCAGCACCAGAAAGAGCATGTGTCTGGTGCGTGCCAGCACTGTCAGTGCTGCCCATTCAGCTTTACTCTGCCCACGTCAGTTGTGCTCCTGATCTCTGCCCCCGAGACTGCAGCTTGCACAGCGTCCTCTGGCCTTTTGATAACAGAGAGGCAAACCTAGCACTAAGATCAGACATCCCAGCTGCAAGCTTGAGTCGTGCTGCTTTACTTTCGGCTAAATCATCTTTCCCTGCTTTGTGGGAAGGAAGGCTGTACTTTGCTACCTGACAGAAATTCTTTCTTTTGCGTGTTACAGAATCACAGAACAACAGACTGTTTTTGTCTTCTATTTCTTTCTTTAATCTCTGAGTCCTTAATATAGTACAGGTTGAGCTGACCTTTGCTGTAGGAGTCTTAAAGTTCTTCCACAGACCTTGAATTTCAAAAGGTGAGATATTTTTGACATCTGTGTCAGAAGTACGTAAAGTGCATCTTATAATTCATGTACTTTAAAGGAGCTGATGTCTCAGTCTGTGTCTAGTCTTGGCTTTTCCTTTCTGCTACAAAAAGACAGATTAAGGCCTCCATCGTATTTGTTGCTTTAGAGTGTGTCAACTGTTTGTCATACTTTCCAAGCTGTCATGGTAGGTTTTATTTGAACAAAGACCTTGTGTAAAAGTCTCATGGCATAATACTCTGACATTTGCACAACATTAGATGTGGAGCAATATGGAGACATGGGAATTTATTTCTGAGTTTGTACACCTGGGATTTTCTGATTTTCCGAGTGCCACTAATTTAAACTGAGGCTCCCCTCACGAGAGACCTGTGTGTTTACATAATACGTTTTTCAGCAGAAGTGGCTCACCCTAAACCTGACTTAAATGTTTATGGGACCTTAACAGGTCCTTCAAAAAAACAGTTCTCTCTTAAAGGCATGATGGAGTACAGGAAGCTTGTTCCAATTTGTTCCACAAGTGGTGTGATTTGTTTATCTGTATGTGTTTTAGTGAGTCACTACTTTACTTCGTCCAGAAGATAGACCTGTCCCTCCTACTAGGAATAGTTGCTGGCAAAAGACCATAAACCTGCATGAATGATGTAGACAAATATTAGTATTTTCTGTACCAGTAGTTAAAGCTAAGTTGTCTTCAGTTGTCTTGCTATTAACTTCCCGATAATGAGTGTTTCAAGCATTTTCTCTCTCACTGACAGGAAGGAGAGGAGCTGTTCCCCACAGATGACAAAGGCATGTCTATACCCAGCAACACAGATTTTCTAGATACATGGGAGGTAAGTTCAGTCACAGTGAGAGAAGCATGTTTTCTGTCACTGGCAGTCTTTTCCATGCTTTCATAACCTTCAGCAGTCACAAAGTTCTTATGTATTTATCAGACTGTATACAGTGTTGTTTTTTAAAACATACATGCTTAGTGGAGCTGATAATCTTCAGCAGAGCTGCAGACCAGATTGCTTGACCATAACAGAAACAGAAATGTCTTTACCACCATCCTTAAACTGCTCAAATAAACTTTGCTGAAGTAAATTAGTTGTGATTTTGTCCACAGCTGCAGTACAGCCCCCTGGTGCTCACTCAACACATTATTGTTTATCATTATTTTCCATGTGCAAGTGACTTAGTGTGAATTTCTGCCAACTCAAGAAGGAGCCTTTGGGTTTGGGTGAGATAGAAGACATGGCACAAATACACCAGTGTGCACTTTCCCCCAAGAGACAAACTTTGCAACTCCAAATAGTTGTCTTTCCCTTCCCATGAGGGGAAACAAAGACATACCAGGAATGTCTTCAGGCCTTGTCTTGCATACTGGATGTTACTTTGCTCCTCTTTGTATCAGGCCATGGAAGAGCTGGTGGACTGTGGTCTGGTAAAAGCCATTGGATTCTCCAACTTTAACCATGAGCAGATTGAAAGAATCCTGAACAAGCCAGGACTGAAGCACAAGCCTGCAAATGTCCAGGTAAGCTGCAAAGTGACTGCAGGTGACTAGTTCTTTCAGGGATTATGAAGATCTGATTACAGTTGCATGAGGAGATGCAAGAGGGAGGAGAAAATAGACACAGCACAATAACACCCTCTGATTACTTCTGGGTATAAATAAAGATATTGTAGATCTACTGTGTCCAGATAGGGAATGAAGTTGTAGTACACAAATTACAACAAGAACTTCTTAAAATACAATACTTGTTCTGTTATTAGTGATGGCACCCATCTCTTATTAATAGCAGATAATTGTTCACACAACACACGTTTCCTCTCATGCAGGCATGCACAATTCGCTGAGTTACCCAGTTAGAAAAGGATGGTCAGTTTTAACTGTTGTGCAGAAACAGTGGCTTCCTTATACCTGCCCTAAAGATTTTTTTATTTATATAAAATAAAAAATAAAGTGTGTATATATACACATATAAAAAAATTACCTAGTCTTTGTCTGCACACAAAGCTACTGCCTTCTTCTGTCTCAGAATGTGCCTTCTTGGGGCCAAAGAACTCAAGGGTAAGCCTTATGAAATGCTTTTTTCTCCTGAGCAATAACCCAGAGATACAAGAAATCTCACTGTAAAGATAGGTGCTGCAGAAAACTAGGACTGAATAATACCTTGCAAAGACGAGCACATGAGGACAAATATCAACCTTTAAGAGCATTAGGAGATAATGCCTAGAGTGAGTTACAGCAGTTGTACTGCTATCAGTCTTTATACCCTTCTGTTGGTAGATCGAATGTAATCCATACCTTACCCAGGAGAAGCTGATAAACTACTGTCAATCCAAAGGGATTGCTGTGACAGCATACAGTCCCCTTGGCTCTCCTGACAGACCATGGTAAGATTGTTTTGCAAGGGAACTGGTGTGGGTTATGTTTGAAGTACTGAGACACTAAGTATCTTTCCCCTGTGTAGGGCTAAGCCAGAGGATCCTTCCCTTCTGGATGACCCTAAGATCAAAGAAATTGCAGCCAAGCACAAGAAATCCACAGCACAGGTACACAGATTCCAGACAGTGGATATCCGTTCCTGTAACACAGGACAGCTAATGTCAATGTAGAGGACAAGGTGGCACTTCCTTCCCTGCCACTTGTGGTGTTAGGTAGCAGTGCAGATCTGTTTACCTGAAGTGCAAGTGTCCTCTGACTGCCAACAAGAAATGTTTTCTTGAGCCATCTTCAGATGCTGTAATGTTTCAGTCTTCATCTCAAATTCTTTTAAAGAGAATGAAATCCTGATAGAAGCTTGGATGGGTAAGAAAAGACTTGTTTGTCCCTAAACTGAATAGGAAAGGTGGTCTTCCATGGAGGCCTCCACCACTTCCCTCTTTGCTCTCCAGGCAGTGCTACATGGATTGCAGGGACAGGAATGACTTGAAATGCAGCTCTGCAGAAAAGGGTGCATCTTAGGGAATATGACTGTTGGAACAGGCTCTGCTTCCATCAGAGCAAGAACCATCCTCTTTCTGATTCTGTTCTTGCAGGTTCTCCTTCGCTTCCAGATCCAGAGAAATGTGATTGTGATTCCCAAGTCTGTCACCCCGCAGCGCATTGTGGAGAACTTCAAGGTGAGGCATTAGGAGTGAGCTGGGTGCTGCCCTTCAGGGACAGCATGGCTTCTCCCTCCACAGCAAACAGAGATACTTTCTCACTTGTAGGAATAGTTGTGCTTTTGGAAGAATTTGTAATGGGAAAGCTAGAAACTCATTTTCACTTAGGAAGCCTGCAAAGTGCCTTCAAGAGGGTTAGATGTTTTTTTTTTTTTTCCTTCTGTAGTTCAGAGGGAATTCAGAGAGAGCTGTGTTATCTCTCTCTTCTTCTATGCCGGGAGAGAGATAACCCTAACAGAAGGAAAGCGGGGAAGAAACAGAAACTATACTAAAGGCCCTGGAGAGGGTGGGAACTTGCCTTTTTCTCCCTGGGGCCTGGTGCTTAAATAGCACTGTCAGGTATTTGTAAGTTTCTTCTGTTCTGGCCTTCTAAACAAACTTTTGAATTCTTTCCACTGCCTTGGCATTTCTGGGGATACCTGCATATCTTACTTCCCAGCTTCTCCTCTGGCAAGAGGACGAGTTTTTGCCTGTCTACCTACACACTCTACTGAGGCTACATTTAAGGCTACAACTGAAAAGCAGGAATGAACCAAGTTTGGGTAATAGTATGCTGATAATTTTAGCAGTCACTTTACATCATGTCTCCTGTTCTGCAGATGAATTGGCACATAGTGCTGGATTGGCACTTGAGTGCAGTAGCATACTACAAAAGGCTTTGCATTAAGAAAATAGTCCTGGTGTCCACGAGCTGTGTTGCTCCATTGTTAATTGACTGAAACTGATCATTAGGGTTTCAAAATAGATAGACTGATAGGTAGTCTTGTAGATGTTCCCTTGGATTAGGACAAAAACATGCACAATGGCAGATGCAAGTGCTTTCCAAGTGTCCTGCAACAGCTGGCATGCATAATTGCAACTTTGGATTTTTTTTTAAATTTTCTCTGCTAATGCATTCTTACTAATACAGAGAGATGCCTTTTTCTCTTCCATGAAACAGTAATTTCTTCTAACCAGCCCCTCTCCCTTTTAGACTTGTTCTTTAATTTTGTAGATTTTGCTTACAGTCTCTGATTTGTTTAGAGAAATGATTTCTCTTGTTAGGTGTTTGACTTCAAATTGACTAAAGAGGAGATGGCAACTATTTTCAGCTTTAACAGAAACTGGAGAGTCTATACAATGAGCACGTAAGTGGTAGCATTTAGTATTTGTTTTTTTCCAAACCTTAAATAATGAATACTGTACTATACTACTACACGGAGGTTTTACATCTAAATATTGCCTTGAATGTCAAGAGCCTCAATGATGGAGTGATTTGGATGTTCCAAATGTACAAAAAATACACATTATACAGGAAAACAAATCTGGAAAAAAAAATCATTCTACAGTTATAAAGTTCAGATCCTGCCTTGGTGGCTTCTCTAAGCACTACTAGAGTTTGATATATTGGAGAAAAATTATGGCTAAAATGAAGTCTTTTTTTCCCTTCAGGGCCAAAACTCACAAGGACTACCCATTCAATGCAGAATACTGAAGGTGGTTATATCTTGCCCTCCTTCAGAGCTTGGTTTGATATTCTTTTATCTAGCTTTCTTATTGCATCTCTCCTCCTGCAGCAATGAAGTCACAGCATATATATTCAGTGATTATATTTTGTTTGTTCTCTTTGAAAGAAAGATACAGTAAAATTGTTCTAAAATAATAAAATGTGGGGTGTAATAATTTTCTTTCAAAATGAGGAATTATTAAGGAGAAAAAAAGGAGAGACTTTGAACTACACCTTCACATTTATACTTTATCTTGCTTTATCTGGCTAAGGAGATAGTCAGCAGTTGTGAGCATTGGAATAAAATCTGAGAAGTGTGAACTAAAGATTCACTTCGTCAGGATGAGTGAGATACCAGAAGTTTTATCACTCCAGAACTAACTGAGAAAAGGGTTTTTATTACCTTAAAAAAAAATCCATAAACAGAAAACACACAGGTGCTCAGTGGGCAGTATTTTTCCTCAGGTTTTCTCCTGAATATGTGGATTTTCCCTAGGACAGCACAGCCCCTCAGCACATTCTCCAGCAGGCGCCAGAGGGCAGCCAGCCCTCAGTGACTCACCTTGTCCCCTCCCCGCCAGCCTCAGCCCCGGTGGTGCTGGAGACATTTCAGCTGTCACACACAACCCCGGTATCTGCCGGCAAAAGAGGCTCAGCCCCTCGATGCAGAGCCCAGATGGCTAGCCTTCCCACTGGCCCTGCCAGCCTCCCTGGCAGGCCAACTTACCTGGCAACATCTACTGCTGTGAGCCCAGGGTACCTAGCTCAGGGATGATGACCCATCCATCTAGCTCCATCCATCTCCTCTGGCAGCTCTCTTCAGCCCGGTCCCCCGATCCCACTGCTGCCTTGGCCCCACAGCCCTAGGGCTGCAGCTGGGGGCCCCAAGCCCTCCCACAGCACTGTAGCATCAGGGGCTTGCACCCCCCACTCCCCCATAGTCCTATGCCCACCAACCCCTCTACCTCTCTCCCCCTGGCAGATCCCAGCCAACCCAGTGATAGCAGAGCTGAGCACCTGAGCTGCCCACACCACTCTACAGGCATGGATACCCACTGTGGAGCCTGTCTGGCACAGGGGACACACATAGAGTAGTCTCAAGGAATTGATCCCCAAATCTCCTTTCTACCTGACACTCAAATTTAAGACATTAAAACAATCAAGGCTCCTTTTGCAAAACCAGGTGAGATGAGGAGGTATTTGGTTTTGTGGCTGTGTCACCTTTCAGTTTCCTACTACTGGGAATGTAAACAAATGCATAATCTTAGAAGTGGCACTTGGGTTTCAAGGGAAAACAAGCACCTTAGGGCTTTCTTTCCAGAAGTTCCATTTTGAATTCATGAAAAATCCAAAAACATTTGTTTTGCAGCTTCCTAAATGAAGCAACCCATAAACCCCTCAACAATCCCCAGGCTGAGGTGAGAGAGCTCTACTGAGATCAAATACATATTTTTATTGAACAATAAAGGTACAATGCTTACTATGATGCAGGGAGAGCTGGAGGTTTAGACCACTGTCTTTTCAGTGCATTACTTGTCCTGCATGAGTTACCCAGTGGCCATAGTTTCCTTGTTCAAGCAGCTTCATCCACCAGCTGCCATCCTCTCAGAAGTAAGCCTTTTCAGAATGGACCTCCTTCAAACAGTGCACCTATGTCTCCAGCAGTGTTCCTAAGTCACAGCACTGTGGGCTTAAATTCTGGCATGAGACACGGTGTTTATACCAGTTTCAGTGGTAGCTGGTTCATGGTCTCCACTCAGGTCACCACTGCCAGCCCCTGATACCCTCTGCAATTTATATTCTTTCCATTCTACCCTTCATTTAATTGAACCATATATTAAGAATTGCTTTCACCCCTATACAAATTCCACCTTTAACATCATCACAATCTCTTAACATCATCACAGTTCATTACAAACTCCATTCCTTGTCCCTGCAGACCAGTGTAGTTAACACCTCACCCATGTGAATGTAATATACATCACAAAGCCACCACTTCCCCAGCAGTCCTGGTCTCTCTGAAGCCTCATTTGCAGCACATGGCAAGCCCCAGCGCAGTCCCAACACAGTAGCACACTTCTCTACCCCATGTTTCATAGCCAAACCCTCTGCAGATCCCCAGCTAGTGCTTCTAGATCCTACATGCACTACACCAGGCCACTGGGGCCCAGGTGTGGAGGAAGCATCTCTCTATCTCTTCCCAGTCCCCTTCCCACTCAACAATGGTACCCCCAAGGTCCCTCCTTTCTTCAGGTGTTTGGATACTGTCTGCACTCACTCCTGGACATGCGCTGGCTGTGCCACTTCCACCAGTGTATATTGCCAGGACCAGGATCACAGCTCCTTCCATAGTCCTCATTACTCCACTTCTGGGCCATGTCAGGGTATCACACACAGTCTCCAACAGCTACTGTCCCAGGCAAAACAGCCTCATCTCAGGGCAATCTAAAATAATTTATTGCCAATTAACAAAAATTTTATTTCACTGATTGAGGGAGGGGGGGGGAAGGGGGGACGGGAGGAAGAACACAGAAGAACAGATCAGTAAATGCCTTTCTCCCCCTTCTCCAGCCTCTGTTTAAGCCAAACACCAAACCCTGTCCTCTGTGCTTCACTTGTTTTCACCATAGATTACATCCAGGCCATCCCAATCCCTCCCTGAAAACAAGGGTGGATTGGATGGTAATGCCAGGTGCTTGATGCTTCCCTTCATCACTCAGTCCTGCGTACTGTGTCCTAGAGCTCCTGGATGGGTGGGCTGCTGGTACCCTGCCTGGCAGGAGTGGCCCAGCCCGCAGGCCACTCAGCAACTTGCCCCCTTTGGGATGAGGTGCTGCCCTCCTCACCTGCCAGGGGACCTGGGGACACACACAGGTCCTTCCCATCTGCTGGAGCTCAGTCACACTAGATGGCAGCATGGGTTTCATAGCCATCCAGTTCTCACCAGCCTGGTTTCCTCCAGCCCAGGTTTCCCCTGATGGATAAACCCACCCTTCCCACACAGTAACCACCACAGGTGGACAATAGGAGCACTTGCTCATCCTTGCCTATGGTCAGGGGGTATTATTTAAGCAGGTGGGATTAAAGAACAAATACTAGTGTGAAGACAAAAGCCTCATCAGCTCTGAGAAGATGGGAGATCCACTAAGATACACTCCTAGATCGATTTGAGTTCAGAGTAAAAAAAGAGGCTGAGGTCTTCTACAGTTAGGGCCAGCCAAGCCCCTCAGATCTGCCTCCTGGCATCCAGAGATTGAACTGGAGTCCCCCACAGAGCAATACAAATCTCCTGTTTAAAGATGCCACTTCATTTCCCAGGGATTCAAGCTTGAAATCCACATGCTCTCACCTCCAAACCCTGGTTTAAGCTATGCCTGTATATGTTGGTACTTCCACAGCTGCAGACCCTCACAGCTCTCTTTCTATGTCAGGAGTAGAGATTCATTGCATCTTGCAACTCTGTCTCCTCCCTCCTTTGTGCTTTTTCTGCAGGCCACTGGGTCTCTGGTAAAGACTACCTCCACAAGAACATGCCCACTTCCATTATTTTGGGTCCTGTTCTCAGATTCCAAATACTGCTGGTCTCCAAAGTCACAAATTGTGGTGAAATTACTGTAACTAAATGCAAAGTCAGAAAAACAAGCTGAAAACTCATGACACTACACATCCTGTTTCAGTGCAAAACCTCACACATGTATAAACAAAAACAAAGAAAAAAACCAAAAAAAACCCGCAAACAAAAAACAAACAAAAAAACCCCCCAAAGAAACAAAAACAGAACAAAAAAAAAAAAAACCAAAAAACCACCACCAAAAAACCAAAAAACCACCACCAAAAAACCAAACAAAAAACCCCCCACCAAATCGGCAACAAAATTCCTCCTCCCCTGCACAGTTCCTCATTGCCAGCTCAGCGTAAAGAAATAGTTGGCCTTGTTATCAAGGACACAGTGCATAAGATTTAGCAGGCTGGCTGTCACACAGTGACTGTGCAATACTTCTTCCTCCCCCAAAGCCCTTGGGAGAGGTAAACAGTGGAAAGCTGATTTCTTGCAGCAGTGAGGGGAAAGGCTCCCACTCACAAGAGCTAACAGCAAAAACAAAAGACTGAACTTCCACCTGAAGCCTCTTGTGACAAGATGGAAGCATCTCCCTGACAAGAAAAATCAGGGAAAACCAAACCTAAATAGTAAGAGATAAGCACCAAGTTGTGCAACAGGTAAAAAACCACATCCCATTCTGCCAGGGATGGCTGATGTGCGGACACTAAACAGGAAGAACATTAAAGAGGAAAACCAATTACCTCGCCCATCCTTAGTTAAATGGAGCAAAAAATATAAAGCTGCAGAGAGCAGGGAGAGGCACCCAGAGCAAACACTCACACCTGAAGAAACTCTCTACATGTGAATAAGCAGCAAAGCCTCCCAAGCAAGTCTGTTTTTTTCCACTGGCACTGTGACCTCTTTAGCAGAACAGTACATGCTTGTTTGCAAAAAAGTCAAAGCCAGTTTCTGATGTGAGATCACTGGCCACTACTGTGGAAGATGGGCAAAAGGAAGAAGAGCAATATAGAAGATGGATTGAAGCCCTGAAAAAGTCAGCTGAAGATTAAGATGCTGTTTTTACCCACAGAACATTTTTGGAGACACAGAACACCTTTAGACAATGGACTTTACAGTTAGAGTTCTGGGTTACTGTTAAAACAGAATTTACTTATTACACCCCATAATTTTTGTAAAAATTCCCTTAAACTGTTTACTTCTTTTTATCCTGATTTCTCATTGGTTGATTCCATATATGGTTGTAACCTTTCCCTCTTTATCCATGTAAAGTTGTAACCCCTCCCATTTTTCTTAGTTTGGCAAACTCCCTCCTTCCCTTTCCATATTTGTTATATCCACACCCATTGTTCTAGCAAATTCACTGCTTCCCCTATATAAAGGGGAGCCATCTTAATAAAGTATTCACTCTTGCTTGACTTGCGAGCTGTCTTGCGCCCCTCAGTGGATCTTTCCAGTATTCCCAGCCGGGCTGTAATACACGTGTGATTACAATGATGCATTTTATTCTGAAATGTCCTCAGCACGTCCCTAAAGACAGAGGGACAATATGATCACTATGCCACTCATGAAAATAAGTCACTGTTCCTCGTCTGCAACTTTCAAAGCACTTTAAAGTCTTCCAAAATTAAAGCTCTTTTTTATTAAGCTCGCTATATTGTAAATTACTCCTAAGCCACAGTTTGCACTGGAAGCTGCGTTTGTCCCACTTAGAGCGAAGAATAGGTTCTCCTGGCTCTCACAAGCCAGACACAGCGAGTTTTCTCCTGTCATTTCGCTGTATCGGCACACAGAGCCATAAGATGACGACAAGGGAGACCAGCCTAGGGCACCATCCCAGTGGCAGGGACACGCTGCTCCAGCAAAGGGCTCGGCCCTTCCTTATCCTGAGGCGCATAACCCGCGAACAGCTCTTAGGGCGACAGTTCTATGCTATATCTCCTCTATCATCCCCGTCCCGGGGATGTAACTCCAAAGGCTCGAGGTGCTGCGGGACAGCTCCCAGTCGGTGCGCCGGCACGACTGCGAAACGCTCCCTCTAACCCAGGGCTCCTAAATACAACCACTCCGAAGCCGCCACCGCCCACACCCAGCGCTCCGGGTTCAGTTCCGGCCCCGCCCCAACAGGGCCGCGCCGGGGCGGGGCGGGCCCGTCCGGACGCTCTTAAAAGCGCAGAGGTGGCAGTAGCGGTGTTTGCGCGGCCATGGCCACCTGCGTGCAGCTTAATACCGGGGCCAAGATGCCTATTCTGGGGCTGGGCACATGGAAGGTACCGGGGGTTGCCTTCGCTGGCGGCAGGAGGGCGATGGGGAGGAAAGGAGCGCGGCTGAGGCTACTTGGACTTGATGGGCGCTGTCGTGATCGCGCAGCGCAGCCGGCGCCACTGACACCCCGGCCGGGCCGCCACCACTCTTCCCTGCTTTACTTTATTCTAATGAGAGATTGCCTTGGGTGGGGTGGCTTTCTTAATTTTGTCTTGCTGTGAGAAAGGTCTTCAGCAATATGTTGATTAGAGGTTTTTTGCCCTCGCTTTTTTTCAGTCTCAGCCAGGGAAAGTAACAGCTGCAGTGATGGCTGCTATCGATGCTGGATACCGTCACTTTGACTGTGCCTATGTGTACCAAAATGAAAATGAAGTTGGGGAAGGGATCCAGCAAAAAATCAAAGAAGGCGTTGTGAAACGAGAGGACCTCTTTGTCGTAAGTAAGGTATGGATCTGGTGATATAGGGTACTAGGAGACACCTTTTTTTCCTAAGTAACCTCCGAGTTCTTTATTTTCCTGCTCTGGGATGTAGTATTCAGAACATCACTTAGGCATTCCTGAGACAAGCTTCTTACTTTACTTCATCTTGTATGGAGAATTATGCCGAGTATGTGTTACAAATGTAGGTAATGCTTTCAACTTTCCCTGGCATGAAGTTATGCTATCCTCTTTCACACAGTATCTGACCTTCTAGTAGGTGTTTTTTAATTTAAGTCATAATTAACGAAACAAAACTACTACTGCTGCATACCAGGACATTATGCAGTGTGCTGCCACAGCACATATTGTCCAATATCACAGGTCAGTCCTGCTTACAGAGCAAATGCCATTTGAAGAGCTGTAAGATCATGTTCTGATCAGGACAGGCACTCTCCTGAACAGTACAGAAGGGTTCTGAGAGATTTAACCGAGCAGGTTATAGCATTCCTTGGCATTTTGTTTCTAGCTCTGGTGCACGTTTCATGAGAAGCCTCTGGTGAAGGGAGCCTGCCAGAAGACTCTTGCCAACCTGAAACTGGATTACCTGGATCTCTACCTCATCCACTGGCCCCTTGGTTTTAAGGTACAGTAACAGCAGTGCTCTTTGCTTTGTCTGTTGTGATTGGTAGTTTAGAAGAGCTGTATGGCTTTATAGCCTAGTGATTGCTCCAACTGGTACAGATCATCATGTGTCTGTTGTGTGCCAGCACTGCTCTGCTGTTCAGCTTTACTGTGGCCATGTGAGTCAGGCTGTTGATCCTTACCTTATCAAGGTTTCTGCTTGCCTGGTATCTGCTGCCCTTTAGATCATGGAAGAGGTAGACCTTGAGCTAGGGGTGGGGTTTCCCTGCTGCAAGCAGAAGTTATATCTCTGTCCTTTTGATTATTGCCTGTGTTGCCTTCTATGGATCCAAAGTCTACTCAACTGACAATGGTGTGGTTCCTTCTTTGTGCTATGCTTTGCTGTCTGACAGAAGTTCTTTCTTCTGCATGCTACAGAGTCGCGTAAGAGATTGTTTCTGTCTTTAATTGCTAAGTCTTTCAAGACAGTACAGATTGAACTAACCTTTGCTATAGAAGCCTTAGTGCTTCACACACCTTGGATTTCAAAAGTTTTGAACTTTTTAGTTCCTAACTCTTTTACTGACTACATGCGAAGGAACTTGTGTTGCAGTTTGAATATGTCCAAGGTTATTTTTCAGTTAGAACTTGATCAAAATCTTCTTTATGCTTCTTACTTCTGACATAACTGTTCTCCGTAGCATCTGTATTTTTAAAATGAGTTTTACATGGGCAGAACTATCACAGTGAAAATGTTATGGCATAATAATGTGTCAGTGGAAAATAACTGGGTTTGGATGAAGTTGATACTTGGCATGTAGTCCTAACTGGAACACAGGCTGCTCTAACATTTCTATGCCAGCAACTTAAACAGTGAGTCTCCCCATGAAAGAGACCTGTCAGCAGATCTAGTCCAGTATAAACTGAACATGTTCCAGGTCTTAAGTGGGTCCTGATTTTGCATTCCAGTAAAACACTTAATTATTCCCAGATACAAATTGTATATTTTTGTAAACTGGCTATAGTACTATTTTCTGTATTACAAGTGGACACTTAAGTTTCATTATTTTGATTTTGATAAGCCACAGGACACAGTGTCCACAAGAAGTACGTGTCCTTACTGGGCTGACTGCTAGCAAAAAAAAAAAAAAGCCATAGTACTATGTAAAAACAAACAAAAAGAATGGAGACTGTAGATAGTGACTATTAGTATCTAATAAATTAATTTAATAATAAGTATTACTTGTCCTGCAGTACAAATTTGTAGTATATTCTTCAGCTAGAAGATTGAACCTCCCAATAAAGAGTGTTCCTAGCACTTTTTCCCTCACTTACAGGCAGGAGAGGAGCTCTTCCCCACAGATGACAAAGGCATGCCTATCCCCAGCAACACAGATATTCTGCAGACATGGGAGGTAAGTTTAGCCGCAGCATGAGAATAATATCTTCTGGTCTTAGTAGTCTCTACCATGTTTTCATTACCTCCAGCAGTCCAAACTGTCTTTTGTATTTAGATCTGTTTGTAAGGGCTTACTGGTACAATAGTGGTTTGTTGACTATAATTTCATTACTTTCAGCTTCTAACTTGCTGTGAATATCTCCAATCTCAAAGAATGAATCTTTTGAGCATTGGTGACAGGGGAGACAAGGCATGAGTACAGAAGTGATTTTTTCAGGTGATTTTTTTTTTCCTCAAACTTTAACTCTGAAAATCTAAACACTTATTTCAGGCTTCTCATAAAGGAAACAAAACCATATCAGGAAGAATGTGTTCTTTAGGCCCTGCCTTGTATGCTAGATGCTGATTTTGTTTCTTTCTGTTAGGCAATGGAAGAGCTGGTGGATGCTGGTCTGGTAAAAGCCATTGGAATTTCCAACTTC